CATTTAGTGGACTGGGGCATCATTATCCCAGGAGAGAAAGGTGATATGAGTTATTACTTTGCATTGATTTGCAGTGACCAGTCTCACTATAAGGAAAAATGGACAGGAACAGAAAAGTAGGGCTCAAACTGTAAGGGTCAGGGTTGTAGTTTTTCTTTCAAATTACCACCCATCTGCACATTTTCAACCAGCTCAGGCTGTTTCTGTTGTTATACAGGCTGTTAGGTTTTATTTAGTGTCCTCAGTGCTCGAAGACAAAGGCTGTGGTGTTGTCTTGTGATTTCAAAGTGCTGCTTTCTCCAGCAATCCCTAATAAGGCTCAGATGTCTGGCTGTGATAGACAAATACAAAACACGCAGCACAGATTAAGACCAACGGGAAGGTGGAGATAGAGGAGACAGAAAAATGGCAAGAAAAACGGTAGACAGTTTGGTAAGTGGAAAAAAAGACAGCAGCAGCCAGAAAAGTAGAGAAAGAGTAGGGACTACATGTTGACAGAAAGGTGCTTTAAAAACTCTCTGAGGTCCTCACGCTAACAAAGACTCTACCCAAACTATATTTGTTTAAGATGATGGAGGTAGCATGTACCCAGTAATTCAGTATGCTAAATATTTCATGGAAAAGGCAGCTCCTCGCCTCACCTCAGTCATAAGTAGTACCCTGTGACAGTAATGAGCATGCACACTGCTGAACATGAGGAAATGAGTAGATTGAGTGTTGGTCAGGACACCCGAAACCACAAGTACTATTTCATAATGACGATTTCAACTGATGTAGAAACAGGAAGAACGCTGGTGTTTCTCAGAATGTGCTCACACTTTATGACAAACCTCAGTAATTCTTGTTTCATAGAGAAGATGTTCAGCCAACTTCCATTTATATTTTCCTTTTAACTGCACACTGCTCGAAATGATTACAACGGTTAGCTCTAGCTTGTGGTGTGTAAATGTAAAAGAAAACTTGCAACTGCAAGTAGCCACCCCGTCCCTTAACCTTTAAGATCTACCTGAGGATGTGGGTTTTCATTCAGCAACACCAAGAGGGTCATACTGTAATGCTGCACCAAATCCTGTTCTTACCAGGATTACACATAAATGTGCCCAGCTGTACTTCAGCTGGCTGGCCTGTGGCATGCTAAATTAGACTTGGTGTCAGGCTTCTTTGACACGTACTGTACATGTGACAACATTTTTATTATCACAAATATAAATTCATCATGCAAGGATGAGCATAAAGTATGATTTACATTTGTTATGCTTGTAAATTCTTTTGAGAAGATCGGCTCTGTAAGCCATTGTAAACACTGCGTGTGGTTCAAGCCAACAAACCTAAAGACCAAACCAGGAATGTTATCTTTGAGAACAGAGGGGTCACTGGTCTGCTGCTACCTAGACTGGTTATTCCACTTTATGTCTTTGGTGTTTCAAAAGTTTAAATGAGTTCAAATCACAAATAACTCTTTAAAACACCCGATAATGTGTTTGTCCTTCATCGCCTGCACCATGAAATGAGTCTGTTTGACAAACCATGATTTTTTTGCCAGTGTTTCAATTCAATATTTGTATATTAAAACAATTAATGAATTTTTATTCACTTTGTAGGCACCTTTATCAAGCCTACAAAGCTTTCTTTGTAAATGACTCTTCTATAATAGAAAGCCTGGTTTAGACTTATGCAGGAAATTTAGGAGTATGAAAACACAACACAGCCCTGGTTTTAGAAATGAAAGATCCACAATCCAGTTCTGCAGGTAGACCTATTCAAAAAGTTAAATATCCCAGCCTGCTTCGATTTTTAAAGTTCCTGGCAGGCTCAAACTATACCTCGGGCTAATGTGAAATAATGTCCTTTTGTATTTTCCTTCTGTGAAGGCCTTACCATCAAGGTTTCTGAAAACATTTTTATTAGCTGCTTCACAAAGATATCTGGGGATTGAATGTGCTAACAGTCTGAAGAACACCTAAACCAGGCATTGTTACCCAAACTCAGCTAAAGACCAGATTATACCAGCTTTCATTAAATCCACAGTTTTACTTGACTCATCAGTCATTTGAAAAAGAATTAATTTTCAATGAAAAGGGTTTTACCGCACAGTCCTTAGCATGTACAGCTGTAAGACTTATTTCCTCAGCAGCCCTCAGGTATGTTAGCTGGAGGCTACAAGAGGTCGTTTTGTGTTCATGGTTGGATTTCTGTGTGGCTCAAACTCAGCTTCACAGACTAAATCGTCCCATCTTACCCGTCTATGGTGATTTTTCATTTTTATGGGCCAATGATTTTTTTTTTTTTGGTAACGGTATAAACAATGAAAGGTGGTGGATTGGCCAGATGCTGGCCGGTGTGTAAAAATAACTCAGTTGTTTGGTGGTGGCTATCGCGGAGCTTCCACAGATTCAGTAACATTAGCAAGTGGTGGAGGACAGCAGGAGGATGAGAGAAAGGGGAGGCAGGAGGAGGAGAGACCCGAGGCGGCCGCCGGTCCGAGTGTCAGGTGAACTGAACTTCAGGTAAGAAGTTATGACCTGCAGTCTATCTGGGTCAGATATGAACCAAGTTTAGGTGGAGTTTATTTTCGTTGTGCTGACTTTTTACAGTCAGTTACAATAACTCTTACTGCGTACTAGCTAGCATGACGGAGTTTCTATACAGCTGGGTGGGTGCTATGATGTTACTGATAGTGAACTTTATTTTATTCATAAGGTTAGTTATTAGAGTTGCCAACCGTCCTGTAAAAACCGGAATCGTCCGGTATTCAGAGAAAATATTACGCGTTTTGTATTGAGCTGAAAAAGAACACAGTTTGTCCCGGACTTCAGCTAGGATGGAAAAAGACACAAAGCTGGAGTTATTCTGTCTTTACGCTGCACAGCTGCCTCTTCTTCGCTCATTCTTTGCCTTCCCTCTCCTGTTTCTACTTCAATGAACATGATCATGAAACTGATCAATGATCAGCTGATCAGCTTTTCTCTCGTTTGTTTATTGCCCACTTTGCGCCAGAAAGAGGAAACCAGCGGATGTCGCGTTAAACAACAGCTGCACATTTAAGCTTGATCAGCTGTTGTTAGAATTTATTTAATATTGGTGTCTTATACAGCACTCCTCTACTCAGAGCACTTTATATGGCTTGCCTCATTCACACAAAAACATCTTCTATGTATTCCCTAACTACGTGCTATCTATCTGTCTGTCTACCTATCTATCATTCAAACTCCAGTGCAGGAAACCTGGGGTTATTACCCAAAGATATTTGGCATGCAGACTCGAGCAGACAGGGATCGAACCACTAACCTTCCAATTAGAGGGTGATCTGAGCTACAGCCACCTCCAAGTGAACAGCTCTCTGAACTGAGAAAGAGTGAACAGGTATGGCTTATTTATAAGGGTTCCCAGGAGAAAGCCTCTTCTGTAAAAGAAAGTACTTTGCTTGGAGAGCACTAACTGTGAAGCATGGTGGTAGAAGGGTGACAGTTTGATCTTGATTTGCAGCAACAGGCACTTTGCAGTCATTGAATCCACTGTGAACTTACCTACATAGCAATGTATTCTAGAGTCAGTGTGAGGCCTAAAGTTTGGACTAAAGCTTGGCCTAAAACAGACAGTGATCCCAAGCACAGCAGCAAATCTCCAACAGAATGTCTGAAAAAGAAAAGTACTGAGGTAATGCAATGACCCAAGGTCTGCAATGATCCAAAGTCCAGACCGCAACCTGACTCTAATGCTGTGGTGGGTCCTTAAGAGTGCTGTGCATGAATGAAAGACCGGCAACTTCAAAGACCTGAAGCAAGTCGACAATATGCAAAGAAAGGTGAAACCATCGTGATGCTGCTCACTGGGGTGTCGTATTTTGAACCTACAGTTTATTCCAGTATTATTCTCATTGGTGTTTTGGTCCCAGAAAAGATCACATTTGGCGGTGTTTTACTATAACCAGACCAGCCGTTTTAAAACACAAAGCAATCCTGTGTTGGAAGATGGTGACGTTGGAAAGTTACTTTTAGTTCCAGTTTCATCAACATTGAAGAGTGAGAGAAGTATAAATGCACTTTTGACATTTTTAGCCTGAATTAGACATATTCTTTTTAAATTTGACCTCTATCATGTTTGAAGTGTGAGACGGCCCTCCACAGCTATCTGTTCGTAGGACCTTCAACACAGGAATTTGCTGAAAGAGCAAGGGTATGATTATATATTCACGCGCAGCAGGTCACAGGGTGCCGTGACACTGACACTGTAAAACTTCATCATCCAAGAGCTAGAAAGCGACAACAGAGGGAGTCCTTACACGCTACGTGACCTCTGATTGCTTTTTGAATAATAAAATGTCACGATGAGCTCGACTGTGGAAACCAGAGAGCAGAGCGCCTAGCTGCAGATCTCATTATACAGCCTCACAGTTCTGATGTTGTTTCTGCTTTCAATTAAAATATGAATAATGTGAACATTAAAATATTGAGGTTGCAGTGCTTTCATGTCATGAAAAATAACGTGTAGTGCTGTGGATTTTTCCTTCATGAAAATGAATAAATTCATAATTTATTGACATCTCAAACACTGTTTAAAGATTCCTAATCGATTTTTGATACTTGATTTGCAGAAGCTGTGACGGTATTAAAAATGAGCAGTATTTATGTAAGAGATACAGAAAAAGGTCATTATTTTTTATTTAGCCACTTTTGTTTATTATTTTTGTAAGCTTGATAACTCTTTTCTACCTTTTATTAATTTCAGGGCTCCAAAATTAACAAGTTGCCATGGTAGTCCACAAACCTGTTTATTAACTCACTGGCTAATAAAATCAAACTGAGTCCTGAAAGGGGAATAAAAATTAATCAGCATCTGGAGAAATACTTAGATCTCAAAGAATAACATATTCCTTAATTTGCTTAGTGATGCATTGTCTTTTAAGAGGATCATGTAAATTATACCATGTAAACAGAGTCCTTACATCCCACCCATCTAGTAACAAACATCTAATTGGACAGATATAAAAACGGGTTTACCTTCGCTGTGCTGGATCAACATTAGAGCCGTGAAGAGGAGACAAATGTAGGTGAGGTCCATCCTGTTGATCTCCTCAGCATCCAGGTGAGAAATCAAAGGAGCAAAAGCACCTTGGCTCCTCGTAAAGTTCCTCGCAGCAGCTGGAGGAGCTGAAGCAGCAGAGCAGAGGCTCCTGCTGAATCAAAACCTAACCTAAGTGTTTCCAGTGAGCACCTAAGAAGACGAAGAATGGGCTCCGAGGGTTTGTTTCAAATGTCCAGTCAGGTAACGCGCTGTGTACAGCTGCCTCCCAGGTGCAGCACTGAGAGGAGTGTGGTGCTGGGTTTAATCCCAAGGCTGCTGCGGTTTCCAGACGGAGGGAGGATAATGTGACGATCTGTTATGAGCTGCATCAAAACAGATGGAGAGAAGTGACTGCGAGAGGAGGAGGAGGATACAACAGGGAGGCTGGCTCTGCACTGAGACACCTTCACAGCTTGAATGTCATTAATCACAGCCTCCTCCTCCTCCTGTGGTTCAGCCATGTCATGCTCTCATGCTTGCCGCGTCCCTCACTAGTCTCTTTCATCTTCTCGCCTCTTTTTTTCTTTGTGTAAGCTGAATTGTGACGCTCGCCTCCCTGGGATCTCCTCACAGAGTGCTCTACACGTGTGGAACAGCCCAGCTTGCTATTTTAGGCATACACGTCTTTATCTGTGTGGGGCAACACGTGCATACATGTATAGTTGTCATCCTGCCCCTTTTGCAATATTCCTTCACCCTCACTGAATTATTATCCCACCAGCAGCTGGAGTAAAACCTGCCTGGAGACACTGAGTGAAAACTGTAGACCTGAACTTTTAAGTGTTTAAGTCTTGGTTGAAAAAGAGCTAATCTGCCACAATGACAGTTCATCTGATGGCAATAAAATATTACAGACACAGGGGTTCATTTCCTTGTTTGCTGTAGCTGTCCTCTGTTCTCTATGTAGTGAAGAGTTAACATATTTGCCAGTTTCTGAGGCGTCTGTCACACAGAAGCATTTAAAAGTTTTAGGCTGCAGACACGATGACAGCCTGTTAGTCAGTGCCCACTCAGCTAATGATGCACAAAGTCACAGACTATAAAAAAGACAGATGTAGCCACGGTGACCTGCAGCGATCATTTGAAACCAGGAACACAAAAGGAAAATGTTCACTGAGGTCATAAATTAAGCGAGTAGTGGGGTGAATTCTCAACTCTGGCTTCACCCCCTGAACTTTTTTTAAACCAGATGCCGAACATGACTGAGAAACAACATGTCACACTCTATGTTGTTACTCATCAATCAGACGGGCAAGCCTGACCCAGAGAGTGTCCTGCTTTCCCCTCATTTTAATTAGCATGGGAACTTTAAACTCGTTTTTTATTCCTCACACAGTCCAGAGACAATCAGTGGGGTAAGGTCAACCAATGATTCAAAATTGTCCATAGGTGTGAATGTGAGTGTGACCAGCTGTCTGTCTGTTTTTTTACCCTGATAAGGATTAGCAGAAGAGAATGGATGGATAGATTCAAACTAGCAACTTTAAACTTATCAGGAAAATGTTTATTGAGTTCTTAGATCTACTGAGCAGTAAGGCCATTTTCTCACACCTCACCCACTGTAGGCCCTCAGAAACAAAGCTTACGGTACTTGCACATTAGCTTAATTTCCCCAGAAGGACACGTGTGATGAAAGAAGCAGGATTAAAAATCTTACTGCAGAGTCTGCTAAGCAGCAACCAGACAAGCATGTTCTGATCCAGACCCGGGCAGGGTCCTGCTTTGTGCTACTAGGATACTCGAGCTCCATTATTCATAGGGGGCATAGCAGGGGTACCAAGCGGCTCTGCATATCTGTGTGAGCAGATTATAATGGTGTATGATCTTCCTAAAACAACAAGGGACTTGTGTCTCCTCCAGTTTCATGTTATGGCGGGCTCATTCAGGGCCAAAGAAGGGAGATCCACACAACAACAGTTTCTCAGCAAAGTTACTAGGAAATAAAAACTACATGCTATCAGGATGTGACTTCAGTTACAGATGATTATAACACAATCAAACCAAAGTAGGAATAAAACAAAGCTGGGTGCCTGAGACATCGTGAGAGAAAACCTGCCTATACAGGCTGCCCAGCAGGTGAAGTCTTCCCTTCATTACACGGGAGGACCCTTTAATTAAGACCACCACCCAATACTGACGAGGCTGTCTGTCTCTCACATGTAAACCACTATCAGTATGAGCCACTCCATAGTAGTGCTAAAAATGTTTAATTCTCAGGTGTTTCACTTCCTGGTGAAATAAAGATTATATCAAACTCCATTATTCCCCTGAAATGTGTTCAGAATTTGTAAATTGATAAGTTATGGCACGCTACTCTCCCCCAATTAGCTGCCTGAATAACTTAAAATTATTGGTACTGATATCAGCAATAGTGGCCCTGTATTTACTTGGTATTGGATCAATACTAAAATTTGTAGTGTGGCACAGCACTACTGTGAATGAGGGTAAGTGTGAATGTTGAATGTTTTTGTTGAAATGTCCAGGCAAATATATGCATGTTAAATGACAAGATATACGTGTTCAAACAGCGTCAATTAACAATTCAGGTTTTTTATTTCTATATGATAATTCTTCAGTATTAAACAGTATGAACAAGTAGTCTGATGTCCTGTAATCATTCTGAAGCTGTAATTTGAAATACAATAACACATTAAGGTTTTGTACAAAGTATCGGTATTGGAGCAGTATTGTTGATACCACCCTGAATTTTACTTGGTATCAGATTGGAAAGGAAATCAGTGGTACTTGGTACATCACTATACATCACGTCTTCCTCGGTGACTGCTTTGAATATATTATCTCCCCCTGCTGGTACCACAACTGAAACATGTCTATTTGAAGCTTTGGAGAGGCAAAGTGTGAAACTGACACCATGGACTGGTGTTTCTATTACATGCTTTGCTGTGATTTTATAAAAATGGCTTGTAATATCTTTCATACCGATCGTTCTTTTAAAAACATAATAAGATAAGATAAGATAAGATAACCTTTATTATCTTATCTTATCTTATTATGTTTTTAAAAGAACGTAATTATGTACATTTTATTTGGGGTAACACTCGTCGAGCAGGAGACCCAAAAAAAAGATCTTGGCTTGGAAGAAATTGTGATTTTGCACCAGAACTGAACCTTAGCGTCCTCTGTGAGAAGCTTGTGATATCCTTCACCACCTAAGCAGACATCATCTGTCTTTTTAACTGCTAGCTACGTTTTTGTGAAACATAATTCAGAATCAGGTTTAGCTGTATGGAAACAATTCACGGGAGATCAGGCCAAACTGCTTCAAATATAAGAAATGCTCCAAATTCATGTTGAAATTAAAAACATAAGTGACTAAAAATGGTAAAAATATGTGTAACTCAGCAGCATGTCATGTGACCGTCTTCCTCCATATGTCCAGATAAATGAGACACAAACAATGCAATAATGTTCCACATGTCTCTCTTTTGTGGTTTTGATAAACACTTTTCCCTGAAGGTCTTCTTTGCTCACAAGAAATGAATTTTTCAACTTTGTTCAAATCCCAGATCGCTGCTATGCTTTCAAAGCCCATGGACACATTCATCTTTTTCCAAAGGACAGCTAAAACCACTGGAAATACTGAAATTTGTGGAGAGGCTTCTTGCATGAAGAAGACTTCAAACTTTGGCCGTCTTATGTGCAGATTCATACATCATGATCCCCAACACTGGGAGGCTGTGGCTGTGCTCACCAGCATCCAGGTGCAAATGTGGGGGTCCTGCAATGGTGTATAAAACTGTAGCAGGAGATCCTGAAAGAGGACACTGAGATAAATAAAATGTGTATAATATTTCTGTCCTCCATCTATTACTTTAATCCCAAATGAGCACTGTTTTCAGCTTCCCTACTACTGGCAGATAATATTTTCTGCGTATTTGCTTTGGAATGAATTGCTGGGGAGTTGCCTGCAGTCGATTCTGAGGTCACTTGGATCAAATCAGTGAAAACTGAACAGGAAAACAACAGAGCTACAAAAGGTGGGCCCCAGTTTTTCTCTGTCTTCATATCTATCCTCTCTTGGGTCGGGTATGGAGGAAGCTGTCTCGCTGTCTTTCTGTGAGTTTAACCAAAAAGCAGTAAAGCATCTTCATAAGGAGATTAACGAGGACAATCCGAACATCTGCGAGCCAGATCATTTACTGTGTGCCACAAAGATGCTTTTGGTCGGGTTTCCCCAAAACTGCTGATAAAAGGAGCAAGCAAATCGCAAGCTCTGTGCAGAGGAAGTGAACACTTCACCACCATGGAAGAAAGAACGGATACGGGCAGCGTTTCACATAATGAGCACTGTGGGAAGCGGGAACATTCAGCTTGTAGCCTGCACGGCCACAGTGTCTTCAAACATGTAATTAAACTAAAATCTTTAAGCAAAAGACAAGATGGCACTGAAGCCTCTTTAGAATTTATTTGTACTCTATTTGCAGTCTAATGATGGTAGTTGAACACAGACAAACAGTCCCAGTACATCTGTACTCCACACAGAACTGCCGAGCAGATAGAAACTGAAAGCACATGCAAGCTCACAGTCACAGACTAATATGATCATAAGAGAACATCCAGAGTCTGTTAGTCAGTATGTGTTGGGTTTACAACAAACATAACAATGTGCTTCATTACATCTCTGAGCACAAATTTGTGGGCTTCCCTCTATAAACTACACAGTGATATGAAATGATAAGTTAACAGTGAACACACATGATGGATTTTAATGATGTTAGCATAGCAGAACCACATCCATGTATTTTTCCCAGCTTATACAATATTATTATTATTATTATTATTATTATTATTATTATTATTATTATTATTATTATTATTATTATTATTCATGCACCTCAAAGATCTTGGGATGTGCATTAACTGGATTTCTCCAAAATTTTCATTACAGTGTTTGTACTAGGATATTACAGTAACTTACAATAAAATCGTGGTCTTGTCATATAAACCCCAAACAAAACCTGATTCTTCTAGAAAATAGAAGCTTTGGTTGTTTACTACTAAAGAGTCCAACAGTCCACTGAGATCCAGTTTGTTTTTTTGGCTGTGAATGACTCTGTGCTTTAGCACTCCTTTCCATGCTTGCATCAGCTTTTCTGGCAATTATGAAACATTACTGTACATCTGAAACCTTTAATAAGAGTCTAAAGTTGAAAAACTAAGTTTGCAGACTTTAGCAAAGCAAAGATTGTGATTGTGTATCACTGTGCAAACATATGCAGCCTTTTGTTTTGCAGTGGGCAGAACTACAGTATCCACTCTAAGCCACATTTGTACCGTGCCAGGAACAAATGGTGACATCCTTGTTTTTTATTGACATTATTCAACTGTCTCTGTGTAAAACGCTCCGATGAGTGTCAGTAGGAGAGGGGAAATGGTTCTAGCACTTCATGTTGT